AACTTTGTTAAGGGTTTTGCCAGCATTGCAAAACCGATGACGAGACTAGCGGGCAAGGATGTTAAGTTTGATTGGACAGATGATTGCTCCAAAAGTTTCACGGAGCTGAAACGACAACTAACGCAGACGCCGGTATTGGTACTTCCGAGGCCTGGGATACCATATGAGGTTTACACTGATGCGTCGGGTACTGGATTGGGTTGTGTGTTGATGCAGGAGGGTCAGGTCATTGCTTATGCATCACGTCAGTTGAGACCTCACGAGGCTAATTACCCTACACACGACTTGGAGTTAGCAGCAGTTGTGTTTGCGTTGAAGATTTGGAGATCGTACTTGTATGGTGAGAAGGTGAAAATTTTCACGGATCACAAGAGTTTAAAGTACATCTTCACTCAGACGGACTTGAACTTAAGGCAGCGCAGATGGATTGAGTTGTTGGCAGATTACAATTTGGATATCGCTTATCATCCGGGGAAAGCTAATCAGGTGGCAGATGCTTTGAGTAGACGCAGGAGCGATGTTTCAGGGACCAGAGAGGTTCAGGAGCTTGCTGGTACACTCGCTAGTCTCAGATTGTGTGCTACTACGGTTGATGGAGAGACAGCTGGTTTCGAGGCAGTTGAGCGGGCAGACTTACTATGGAGGATACACAGAGCTCAGGATGTTGATGAGGCCTTGTGTAAGCAGATTGAGATCGAGAGTATTGGGTATCACACAGCTTCGAGTGGGATGTTTATGTTCCGAAACCGAGTTTGTGTACCAGATGATGAACAGTTGAGGAAGGAGATCTTGAAGCAAGCACATCACTCGAGTTTCTCCATTCATCCAGGGAACACCAAGATGTACAGAGATCTGAAGCGTTATTACCATTGGCCTGGTATGAAGAGGGATGTTGCTACTTTTGTATCGCAGTGTCAGACTTGTCAGATGGTTAAGGCGGAGCATCAGGTGCCTAGCGGGTTATTGCAAAACCTGCCATTGCCAGAGTGGAAATGGGACATGGTGACTATGGATTTTGTGACGGGTTTGCCGACCACCACAGGAGGAAAGAATGGTATATGGGTAATCGTGGATAGACTCACCAAGTCGGCTCATTTCCTCGCAGTAAAGAAGACAGATAGAGCTGAGCAGTTAGCAGAGATGTATATCAGTGAGATTGTTAGACTGCACGGAGTACCTGTCAGCATTGTATCAGATCGGGATGTAAAGTTCACTTCTGCATTCTGGAGAGCCTTTCAGAAGGCACTTGGGACTAAGGTCCACATGAGTACCGCTTACCACCCACAGACAGATGGACAGTCAGAGAGGACTATTCAGACATTGGAGGATATGCTTCGAGCTTGTGTTATGGACTGGGAGGGTAGTTGGTTGAGGTACCTACCCTTAGCGGAGTTTGCTTATAACAACAGCTATCACTCGAGCATTAAGATGGCACCGTATGAGACTCTTTATGGTAGACCTTGTCGCACCCCGCTTTGTTGGACAGAAGTGGGGGAGCGACGTGAGATAGAACCAGCAATGGTTCAGGAGACGGTAGAGCAAGTTGAGATGCTCAAGAGACGGCTTAAGGAAGCCCATGATCGTCAGAAGAGTTATGCAGATAAGCGGCGCAAGGATTTAGAGTTTAAGGTTGGCGACCTAGTATACCTTAAGATGAGGACGTTTCAAGGAGGATCTACGACTCGGAAGCTGAAGAAGCTTAAGCCGAGATATATGGGGCCATTTCCTATTTTGGAGCGGATTGGAGCAGTTGCTTATAGATTGCGTTTATCGGCAGAGTTATCAGACTTCCACGATGTGTTTCATGTGTCCGTTTTGAGGAAAGTCGTGAGAGAGCCAGAGCTCATTTTGCAGCAGCCACCCAGTGATCTTCGTAGAATTATCCGCAGTTTGTCAGCCAGTGGAGATTGTGGATCGACAAGTGAGAGCGGATCAGGGGATGATGACCATGATGGTCAAGGTTCGTTGGGAGAGAGACGGGATCCAGGAGGAGACCTGGGAGTCTGAGCCACAGATGAGGATTGATTTTCCAGAGCTGTATCGAGATGCTATCGGTCAGTCGACTCTTGACTCGAATTCGGGGACGAATTCCGCATTAGTGGGGGAGAATTGTAGTGACCCAAACCCATCAAATTCATCATTTCAGGCCCAAGCCCTAGGCCCATCCGAATTTGCCAAAGGTATTGGCTATAAAAGCCATTTCACCACCTTGTTTTCTCAGAAATTGCATGCAATAGAGAGAGAGAGAGTTTAGAGAGAAAGTGTAGAGAGAAAGAGTTTGAGAAAGAGTATTTGGTTTTGTAGAGAGAGAGTCACCTGAGCTCGTCGCCGGAGCCACTACGTCCAGAGTACCCGTCCAGCTCGTCACCACCGACCCCCAGCCTAGGTAACCACCGGAAACCACCACCATTTTAAGTTAGTTTTGATCCGTTTAGTAAAACGTCCATAACTTCCTAACCGTTGAGAATCTCGTGAATGCAAGGCTACCATCGTGTTCTACTCGTCGAGACGAAGCCGTAGACCCCAAAAACGCCGAGATCCGACACCGGAGCCGCCGTCACGCGCCCGCCGAAGTTGAGCCGCCGCGCGCGCGTGAAGCACACGCGCCACCGCGTCATCGCCGCAGCCGCCGCAGCCGGCCGCCGTCCCTCCGCCGCCTGGAAGCCTCCGCCGCCGCACCTCTGCCGCGCCGTCACCGCCGGTGACCGCCGGTAAGCCACCGTCCTTTTCGCCGGAGCCGGTGACCGGAGACCGGTGACTCGCCGGTGACTCGCCGGTGACTCGGCCGAGTTTACTCGGCGAGTCAACCGTTGACTCGGTCAACCGGTTTAGGCTGGTCCAAATCGGTTAGTTGTTGGGTTAGTTAAACCGACGATTAAAATTAATTAGAAATCGGTTAGGGTAAACCGGTTAATTTAATTAATTGATTTTTGGTTAAGGATAAACCGAATTGAAATCGGATTAGTCTTGGTTCCATTGAAATCGAATTCGGTTAAGGAAAACCGGCTGGTCCAATTCGATTTCAATCTGGTCAAGGGTTGACCGGCTTGGGTCAAGGTTGACCGGGTTGACCTTTGACCTGCGAGTTGACTTTTCCGTAATTGTCCGTTTTCGACCGTTCGAAGGTCATTCTGACTCGGAATTTCGATCTAATTTCAGATTTGGGATCTATTTGAGCAGTTGGAGTTCATAGAGACTACTTTTCCCCTGTTGCTAAGGTGAGGGTCTACTTCCGAACGATTCGTACGTGACTTAGAATTTTAAATAAATATAATTTATTTCTATTGTGTTCTGTCTGCGTGAAATCGAGTCTGTCATTGCTTGATTAGTTTTAGGATGCTTGCTTAAACCGGTGCTATTGGGATTTTGGGCTTCTATAGTATTCTATCTTATCTTATCGTATTTTATCGTATTTTATCGCTATTGGTCTTTTGGGCTTCTATAGTATTCTATCTTATCTTATCGTATTTTATCGTATTTTATCGCTATTGGGCTTATTAGCCCTTGGACTTTTATCGCTTATGTTATTTCAGACTTTCGGTTTATGTTGTTGACGTTATTACGGATGTTATGTATTGGGCCTTGGATCGTTTTATGTTTTGGATCTATGTGGTATGAAGTACGTTGAATTTTAAGTATTATTATTAATTACGACGTTTTCAGAGATTATTATTTTATTATATTATTTTGGAGAAAATGGGTGTCACTGAATGATTCCCTCAAACTAAGGAAAAAGAGTGAAATGAAGAGATACATTATGTCATTATCACAAAAATCAAAACCGACTGAAGAAGATATACGAAAGGAGAAAAATAGAATCTTTTTTGTAAGTTGAAAGTCTTTTCTTTATTTTTTTGTGCGTAAATGTTAAACCAAAGATTCTTCATTGGTCGAGGAAGAGACAAGTTTTGTCCCAAGATTAAAGTTGATGCACGTTAATGAAGAATAGAAGAGAAGATGGACTCTAACTTACCAAGAGTCTCTCAACCCAGTGATTTATGCTTTGATTAATAGGTCAGATGGAAAACCTTGACCAATGAATTAACTTTCTTTCTTATTTTTTTTTCTCTTTAACCATCATTAATGTTGAAAATAATTTACTCTAGACAAATTCTTAAATATCAGAATAGTGCAACCTCTAAAAGTGTTGAATTCTGAGCATCATTTCATATTACATATCATCGTCTTAGCATATATTATAAGCATGTGAAATAAAAAAAATCTGGCAAAAAAATGAAAGTAAGCTAAATAAAGTAAGATAAATAAAAGTAAGATAAATAAAATAAAATAAATAAAAAGTATAAAATCTAAATCATGCAATATTTCTCTTACTATTTTTTCTTAACAGCAACTTTCATTAGTGATGGTATGAAACTACAAAGTCATTGTGAATGTTCATTTGTGATACATGGAGCAATGAAATTAAAAAAAAAAAAAAAGAAAAATAATTGCTTGGTTTGGTATTGATTTCTCTTACTATTTATTTTGCAAATAGATATACTAAAATGTCATATTTTCATCAAACAAATTCTTTTAATTGTTCAAATTTGATTTGTTTAATTTCATGTGAAAAAACATTGATTCTTTTGTTCACCACAAAGTTCAACTTAAAGAAGAAGTTTTGTTATTAAATTTTAGATAAATGAAATATAGTATTTAAAATTTATTAAAGTAATTAAAGTATACCCGGGTGTAGCATGGATGAGACATACTAGTAAATATATAAGACTAAAGTTTAATATTTAACATTTTTAAACATAAAATATATGCATATCTAAATTATTATTTTATGTTTTGAAAACATTTAGAAAATATTAAATTTAGTTTTTTATTTTTATTTTTATAACTAATATTTTATTATATAATAAAATTAATTTATTTATTAATCTCCGGTGCATCCGCGATCCATCCACTGACCCAGTAATTCGGTAAATCGTCCGGTTCAATATCCGGTAGGTTTAAAAACATTGGTCTCAACCCAGCAAACTTTCAAAACTAGAGAAAACCCTAAAAATGGAAGCCGATCAAACGGTTCTTTGCCAATTGCTTGCCGTCGACCTCAGCGACTATTGCTACAGAGTTTGTTCTCGCTGCGAGAGAGTCCTTCCCGGAGATAATAACAAGGGCGTCTTCCCTTCTTCTTCCTCGTTATGCAAATTCTGCAAATCAAACGAACCCAAGCTGCTCTACCGCATCCTCGTACGAACCCAAATTCAGATTTACTATCTATTGTTGTGTCTAAGATTCTATAAATGTCAAGAATCAGATTTTTTTTTTTTAAATTCCGACATATCTGAATCTTTGTTTGAATCTTTGTTTGTTAATCTATCAGTTGTCTGTAGTAACAGATACATCAGTTAAAACTGTCATCTGCTTCGATAGAGCTGCGACTGTTCTCTTCGGTTGCTCAGCTGATGAGTTTTTCCACTTCACGAAGCTCAATCCTAAAGCTGGTAGTTTTCTGTTAAGCCTCTGATTTAAATTCTTGAGATGGTTCCTTTGATGTTGTTGTTTCCCGCTGCAGCATCTATGGTTAATCAGGTCTTTGATGGAGAAATGCTACGGATGACGTTGACTCGGCCTAAGAACCTTAATGCGCAGCACATGAGAGTGACTTCTGTTGTTCCCCTAAGATCAGGGTTTCAGCCAGCTATTGTTACACTGAGACAGCTCTGCTGCACAAAGAGTGCTTCTTTAGGGAATTGTTCTACAACAAATTATAGTTTCTAAATGTTGGAGTCAAACATTATGTGGTGGCCTACAACAATCACAAGCTTTAGGACTGGTTAACAATTGATTTGTTGTCGGTGAAATAGTCTGATTATTTGTTAAAAAGTTCCTCATCGTCTAAAGCAAATGTGATGGGATTAAGTTCCATTTGGGTTGTCAAGATAATGAGTCACTGTTTGCTAACTTGGGTTCTTGTAAGATGAATGTTATCACGTTTCTTGTTTCTTCTTGAAACTCTAGATTGTGTGAGAAGCTCAAGACTCTTAGATAGTGAATCTCTAGGACAAGCTCCTTCCTGGCGAAGAGTAGGTTCCAATACATTGATAGATACATACTCGTGTAACTGTGTGTTCTTTTTCTCCAGTTTTTTTTTTTCTGCTTTGGTGTGTTTTTTCGTTGTTACTGTTAACTAGCTAGAGGAAGAAGACATAGCTAGCAAACATATGTATTCATCTTGTGAAATTAGTACAATATGTTATATACTGAATGTCTCTTGTTAAGCTAGCATCAAACTAGTGATTAAACGAAACACTAATAACACAGTAAACTATTGTAATATTCCCTTTCAAGATAGCAAGTATTGGAAGTTGCATAGCCATCTTGCCAACAAAAGCAAAGAATTGAGAAAAAAAAAAAGCTTTTGTAAAGAAATTGGCTATTTGATTATTCATGTGAACATGGAGAGTTGATGTAACCAACTTTGATGTCTCCGGAAATCGATAACAGTTAAGCTTGATGTGCTTGGTTCTTTTGTGAGAACACGGATTATTTGGTACATGTAAGCTCTTGTTGAATCACAATAGAAGGCAACAAGGTCATGTTGAGAAGATTGTAACTAAGGTAAGAGATTCCTAAACCAGATGACGTCTTTTGGTTCATATCCATAGCTCTGTACTCAAACTCATTATAACAATGCCATACAATTGGTATCATTTGCTACATAAAAGCTATTGTTGAATCACAATAGAAGGCAACCAGGTCATGTTGAGAATTTGTAACTTAGGTAAGAGATTCCTAAACCAGATGACTTCTTTTGGTTCATATTCCATAGCTCTGTACTCAAACTCATTATAAGTGACATACAATTGGTTATTCCGGTGATATCTAGGAAATGAAAGCGTCTCCAAGAAACATACAATAGCCCGATGTTGAATGTCGAGAGTCTGGACATGATGTCCAATCAACATCTCTTTTAAGACGAGATTAGAAGTAGCTGAATAGAAAAGTCCAAAACCAAATGTACTTTTGAGACTGTGAATGACCTTATAAGCTGCTTGTAGAATAGTGCTCTTTGGTGATTTTGTAAAATGACATAATTTATGTCTTGTTCAAATGGAAGAAGAACCAGCCTATTGATTCTTATGACTAGCAAAATATTTTTGTATAACCCAAATTATATAAATAATTTATTAAATTTATTTATTTTAATTAATTGTTGATTAAAATATTATCGAAGAGGCCTAGAGGTAAATCGAGGAAGTATGCTAATCCAGAGTAGTTCACAACGTCGTCAGCAAAGAGGACAAGTACACCATGACAGTAGTTGCAAACTCCTTTCACTGAAGTCAAAGAGCCAAAGAAGAACGTAAAAGAAAAACATATCTAAAGATTGTAAAACACTTCACTTAAAAAAATATCTAAAATGTGTTAAAAAATTTCAACCAAAAGAAATATGTCTAAAACGTGTTACAAAAATTCAACCAAAACAACATGTTTAAAACGTGTTAAAAGGAAAGAACATATGTTTGAATATTTACATTTAGTAGTACTCAATTTAGTAGTAATATTTCCTTCTTCATAATGATACTTTTGCAAATTACTACATTTTTTAGTAATACAACATTATAAATTAAATTTATTAGTAATACCAATACTTTTAGACAGTTTTATATTATATATAACACATTGGCAGGAAAACATTTCAGAAAATATTTATTTTCTAAAATTCATCTCATCATGGCTTTTCCATCAAGACATTAATATGGAAGTATATGAATGTTTTCTTTGGGAATGAGAAGTTTTCTACCAACTTGAGATTTTAAGAGTATTTTATGTCTAATTTAAAAAACAAACACATATATAGACATATAATCACATAATATATGACACATATTTTCTAAAAATAAATAATAAGACAAAAATTAAGATTCTTAGAAAAATGCATAATACATAGTAGTTCAAGATAATTTTAGATAGTTCAGGGTAGTACAAAGTAGTAATACATGTTTCACTTTAGTAATACTAGTAGTTCTAGTAGTTCCTAAAAATTTTAATTTCATCGATTTAACAATCTAACAAGCATGAGGATGTTATGCAGCCACAATATTGTCTACCAAGCATTGTAATGTATTATTCTTCTTTAAAACAGTGCAAAATAATCAAAAATATGTATAATACATTGATATCTAAACACATATGTGGACTTATAATTCAAAATATATAAGTTATATCTGCTGAAAATATATAATAAGCCGAAAATGTAAAGTTCTTAAAACTATGTATAATACATAATAATCCAAAGTAATGCAAGGTAGTACAAAGTTGTTTTAGTAGTACAAGTAGTCCACGTACACATTTATATAAATAAAAATATATTATCAAATCTTCAATTGTATATAAAGTATATGTTCGTTTCAAGAAGTATGCAATTTTGATATTTTCACAAATATTAAAAATGATCTTTCATGCTCTTAATAAATACACTTATTTTAATTAAAAAACTTTAAGACAAATAAATTATTTCTAAAATCAAAGCATTTTGTAAATAATATTAAATTTAAAATAGATATAACTGAACTGAAATCTTAAATGATACTCTTTACATAAAAACAAAAAGTCTAAAATTAATTTTTATAAAACAAAGAGAATATTATATTTAATTTATATAGATTGTTAATTTAAAAATATAAATATTAAATTATGAAATATATTATTTTCAATTTGAAGGCCATATAAAATATATATAAACATTAAAGAAATTTAAAATTAGTTTCTCATCAAATACTATTGAAATACATGTTTTATGAAATTTACAGTTTTGAAATATTTTCATGCAAACAAAATTTATAGAGTTTTTTATAAAATTAATTTTGATTAAAATATTATTTTAATAATTTATTGTCTTATTTTATTGTTTATGAAATATTAGTTCAATATTAACAGAAATTTTTTTATTTTCCATAAATGTTTTAGCTGTCTTAATCATTTAACAATTTAAAAAAATGAAAAAGATTTGGATAATAAATTCTGGGTTCACCCGGAAAATTAAAAAAAATATGAAAATACTAGTAAAAAATATTAATATGGGATCCATCCGAAAAAAGGAAAAAAGAATATTGGTGGGTCCTGTGATATTTGAGAATAATAAAAGAAAATAATAGGAAAAGAAAGGATAAGGAAGGAAAGTGAATAAGAGTTGAAATAAGTGGGATAATGAGAATATAAACTTTCTACCTAGAGTATATAAGATTACTTTCCGTCGTATGTTTATTAAAAGACTCTTTTGTACATAGGATAACAGACCCATAATTGTTTTTATCTGGTTTAATAGTTTAAACTAAATATTATTTATTATTTAAAATAAAAAATATTTATAGAATAAAAATAAAACAATTCCTTAACATATAACAATACGAAAATAATTTAATAAAATTTTGTTAGTATAAATGATAAAATAATAAAATATAAAATCTATGCTATTAAAACTAAAGTACAAAAATGAATTACCCCTTAAATTTACACTTTAATTACAACTAATGCCAATGAAAACAAATCAATCCTATTTTTAAGCATTAATTATCATTTGGTCATATATGGTAACAATAACATATCTTAACGAAAATCTTTTTTAGAAATAAACAATCAATTAATTCAATTATTTAAATGATGACACATATAAAATATATAACTTAATTTATGTAAAAAAAATATTAGTTTATAAAATGTAAAATTTAACATCCGTATAAGCGTGCGGATCAATCTCTAGTATTTATTATAAAAGTAGAATAATAAAAATGAATAATGACTCGTGTATTGTAAGAAGGTATTTCTCATATGTTATAAGAGTTTACAGTACATCTATACAGAGAGGAGAAGACACTAGAGTTTACAGTACAGTGAAACCTCTATAAATTAATAATGTTGGGACTACACCAAAACTACAAATTTTATTAATTTATAGAGATTATTAATTTATCGAGATATTAGTTGAACCAAAATTCAATTTGGGGCTATGAAATTATATTAATTTATAGAGATATTAATTTATATATTATTAATTTAAAGAGGTTATACTGTACATCTATACAGAGAGGAGAAGACACTAGAGTTTACGCATATTCAATAGATTCCATAAGTGGACACTGGACAAAATGAATATTGGAGGAGTTATTGTGAGTGATTGTGTAAATTCCCGAGTTGTGATATATAGAAAGGATTAAGAGGAATGATTTGGCTACCTATATCACCAAAGTGCACTTAACTTTTCGGGAGTACATCCAGAGAGAACTCCAAAGTTAAGCGTGCTTGAGCTGGAGTAGTCTAAGGATGAATGACCTATTGGGAAGTGATTTGTGATACCGTGTATGTTAAACCAAAGCACGGGAAAGGTCATGTGGTGATTGCATGGTCAGTAAACATGACTCTAAAGTCTTGGAAAATTAACGTAAAGACCGTCAGATGGGATGGGACCCACGTGCCGAGAGAGCGGGACTGGGTGGCCCATTAGCCGTGGACGGTCGGGGCGTTACAAGTGGTATCAGAGCTGGTTAGCCATCTCAGTTCTGACTTGAGAGGCGTTTTGAGACATGTCGTGGGACGCAACGAGGATGTTGCGTTCTTTGAGAGGGGGTCAATTGTAACATCCTGAGTTGTGATATATGGAAATGCTTAAGAGGATTGATTTGACTATCTATGTGATAAGGGTTTTTAAGCAATAGAGCAAATCATTATAGTAAGGTAAGTAGAGTGTCAATCCAATCCTGAGTGCTAATGAACAAAGAGAATGCAAGTCATTGTATTAAGCTATAAATGCAATCAAGAAGTTTGTTTTATAGAGTAACTAGTAACAAGCATGTAAGTAAATAAGAATAACTAAGCTTTGTTTCAATGAGATAAGAGAACCTATGGATAAAGCTATTGACTTTGGGTGATTAAGCTACTCTCTAGGTTGAGGGTTCAAACAATCAATCATATCCTATAGGTCTAGACACAATCCTAAACTAATCCTTTGTCAAGGTAAAAGCTCCTTTGCTATCAATCTCTAAACATCAAGTGTCCTTGGTCTAAATTAATCAAGAAAGCATTGAGACTTGGTAGCACCAATTGCTCCTGAATTCCCCACTTCAATCCCTTTCTGAATGGCCTTGCAAGGCACTTGTAATACAGACTTGGTAGCACCAATTGCTCCACCATCAGTTCACCTGTGAGCTTCTTCTTATGACCTGAGCTTGTCTCCCCCTTTGTTAT